CTCTCTCTCTCTCTCTCTCTCTCTCTCTCTCTCTCTCTCTCTCTCTCTCTCTCTCTCTCTCTCTCTCTCTCTCTCTCTCTCTCTCTCTCTCTCTCTCTCTCTCACACACACACACTAAAATTGACGACTAATTAGATTTATCAAATAATAAATAATGTGATTAAATTTCATTAGACTTATTATATAAAGTACATTATGCAGGAAAGGAGTTTCAAAAATTAGAATTTTATATTAAAAAAACTGTAACATTAAATCATAATACCAATTTTATTGGTATGAAATTATCAGTATTTAAATATTGGCCCGACTGATAATAACGAGTTAAAACAATTTGTTTTAAATACTCATTGTTTATTTTACATGCTAGCTGTACTCTGTTTATTTTTTAAAACAAACTATCTAAATTTATAGCTGTCTCTTCCCTGCCCTTCAATTGCAAATACTAATCAAAACATTTTACTCGCAAAACAAATGTAGCAAAAATCGCGGCCAAACAACAGCCAAGGGTACGGCAAACGCACGAAACCAATACATCCTCAGCAACAACAACAACGTCAACCCCAACCACAACATACCAGTCCCTCATCGGCACAGCCCACCCAACCCTCTTCCTCCTACGCCTCCCCCTCCAGCCAACCGCAGCCGTCGCCCACAACTATCCACAACACGGCTATAGTGGTGGACGAGTCGCCGCTCAAGTCTGAACAAGAGGTCAGCCCTAAGACTACGGTAATTGTGAGCCCAATGGCCGGGCAGTTGACTAAAGAGCAGCTTAAGAACCGCACGGATCACACCATATTGAATGACGTGATGCGACTCATAGCCCAAAACGCACCGGCGATCGCCCCCACCGTCAGCTACCGGTCCGTACGGCACGTGTCGGCCGCCCAGGATATTGATGTGCTTAACTATAGGGCCAAAAGGGACACACAGTATAGTCATTATAACAATGATAGGCACGATTATCATGGTAATAATGGTCAACAACATAGGTATAGGTCTCCGGCCAGCGATGATTGTCATAGAGCTAAAGCCCTGTCCGTACTGTCCCTACTGTTTACGACAGTATTGTATGTGTTGTATAAGTAGTGTTAAACTTTCATTACATTATTAAGTGATATAAATATACGCTATTTTTCATTAAGATTTTTAAAAACTAAACTTATTTTATTTTATATATTTTAAAAATAAATTATATTTTCATACTTTTAATTATTGAATGTTTTTATCAATTGACAAATAGTTTGCAAAACTGTTTAATCGCAAAATATATGTGTATTTTTCAAAGAGTTACATATAATTAGCCAATTATGTCGTGTCTTGTCTACTAATTATTATTGTGTGATTATTAGATATAATTTTATAAACCATGTTCAATGTATTGTTCACATATATTTATAACTATCATAATAAATTTAATGTTTAAATCTCCAAAAATATAATTTTTATCTATTGAAATTATTGAGTAATTTCTCCATCTAGAAAGTACATTATATTCTTTGGAAACGTTGATAACGTTATATAGGGTAATTAATTTATACGGTCCACCCCTGAGAGCAGCTATTATCAATGATAAAGTAATATAATTAGTAATACATTTATTGTTGCAGCAATTTTTGTATATATGATTGTTGGCTGATCATAATTTTACAAATAATGTTAATTTTATAAATTATTTAAATTACTCGTTAAAAAGTTCCATTTTTAACGTTCTATACCAGATTTAATATTATAAAAAACAATTTTCAACATAAAATATAATAATTAGTCTTAAGTTTGGGACAAAAACCGAGTTTATTTAGTGTAAAACTTTTGACAAAAGCGCAGATACTTGACAATGACCTCGTCATTGCGGGTAAATATTGAGCGTTTAGGTGCCTGATAATTCACCAAGATTCTAGCATCCGATATCATCTATAAGCACAATAAATAATATTAAAATTAGCCATATTAATTTACAAATTCATTATATTTGATTTAGTCATTAATAACCTGATGCAAACATTCTTTGGTATACATTAAATTGCAATGTAATATAATTGATAAATTATAAAATTTAATAACAATAACCCTACAGTTTTTTTAACAGTAAATGCCATGTAATATACCTGCATTTCCATCATATATTTAAATGCTATCACATATAGCCTGCTCAAAATAGATGACTTGCAGTATAATGTTCCTCTGGCTAACGTTTCACCATGCTGCAATGGAACAACACTAAACATGGATAATACGGTGCCCAGCATTGAGTTGTCTGCGCCAATGTATACCAGTTCAGTCACTGGTGACAGGTAACACTGTTTTATGGGTACAGTGACCAATTCCCAACCGAATAAATAGATGGCCATTCTACCTGTGATTGTAGGCATCTCAGTCTCTGTGCCATTAGTATTATCAAACAAAAATTTTAAACTAGTTATGTATGGTATGAGCTCCTGGTGTACGTAATGAACGTGATGTAAGTCGGCCCCATTCTCCATTATGATCTATCATAGTAAAAGTAAATGGCTAATTATTATTAAATGTAATTTATTAATATAAAATTTTAATATCAATTTGGTATAGTAATTATTAATATTTTATTTTAGAATTACCCTATTTATATTAAACATAAAGGTGACAAATTAATAATACTTTAACTTACCTCATGGTTAGAATGCATAATTCTGATTAAACTCTCTTTCAGTGATAGATTATGAGAGTTTTTTCCAAGAAAATCTTGGGGGTAGTGATTGGGGTCCTTATCCTCCGAGTGATACCAAACATAAATAACTTCATTCTTCTCTATTGTCTGCCATTTCTTTACCACAGCTTTCACTGCCTTTAACTCAGACTCTATTGAAAACATTATTAATTCATACAATAATTTTAATTAATTTATAAATAATTATTAGTATTAGTTATAGACAAACCGTTGAGATTAGGTATGCGTTTGCACTGTCCGTCTCCGCCAAACCTCCAGCCATGGAATGGACACTGAATACA